GAGTTTAGGGCTGTTGTACATAGGGTCGCTATGAGTCGCAGGCAACTCGATGGCACATAACAACAACAAACAACATATGTATATTCACCTCACTATGTATATATTCACTCACTATATATATTCACTCACTATATATATATTCACTCACTACATATATATTCACTCACTACATATATATTCACTCACTATATATATTCACTCACTATATATATATTCACTCACTATATATATATATATTCACTTCACTCACTATATAAATTCACTTCACTATATATATTCACTTCACTCACTATATACATTCACTTCACTCACTATATATATTCACTTATTGTGTGGAGAAAAATATACACACACACATTTATTTATGATGTGCTATCATGTCAGAACCGACCCCTAGCTGATTCTCCAGAGGGTTTTCAGAGGCAGTTAGTCTTGCTGGACTAGGCTGCCCATCCTTCTTCTGCAGAGCAGCTGGTGGATTCAAACCACATGCCTTGGGAATGGCAGTGCAGATTCTCAGTACTAGGCCACCAGAGTTCCATATATTATATTTTTTTTATCCTCCTAAGAGGGATCCTGGCACTATGATAATTTATAACTCAGGGTTCTTTTGGCATCAGGCACAAAGCCCAACATGGAAGGCAGACATCCTAAAGGTAAGCTGATAGATCACCTTTACATTAGTCAGACAGTTCTTTGAGATGAGAAAAGTTCCTAGAAAATTCATTTTATATATCTATTAATTAATTATATACTCTTCCTGCTACACTGATAGTATAAAATTTTCACAATCATCCTGCTGAACATCAAAAGGACTACTCTGTCTTATATAATATATAAGTGAGAATATAAGAAATTATCTTTTATCACAAGATTTTCTAGTGATTATGACTGTGTGTCGACTGACAAAGTTGTCAGTCAGATCTTATCATGAGATTTATCTTGCCTCTGATTCTTTGCTTAGTTCATGATAAATATATATATATATATCTCTTTGTGAGTAGTCTAAAATCCTTAGGGCTAATATACGATGTACTAGAACAAACAGGTCCATGCTAGAGAGGGTGAAACCAGAATGCTCCTTGGAGGCAAGGATTCTAAAGCTTTGTCTGACGTACTTTGGGTATGTTGCAAGGAGGAACCAGTCCTTGGAGAGGGATGCTATGCTTAGATGGGTGGAGGGACAGCGCAAGAGAGGAAGACCCTCAATGAGATGGACTGATTCAGTGACTGAGGTAAGGATGGTAGGCGTGTCAGAGACAGTAAGGTTGGCACAGGAGAGGGCAGGTTTCAGAACTATTGTACTTAGGGTCACTACATGTTTGAATGAGTTTCCAGATTGATTCATGTTGGGAAACAGGAGTGGCATCCACTTCCTAAACTAGATGCTTCTGGAAACTCTACAGACTCTCTTATAAATGTACAGAAATTATGTTAATTATAGAAAAGAGTTCAGGTCTTTTGTGCAAAGCTTACTCTGGGTCATATTCGACTCAACAACACTTAACCACTGCTAAATGAGACTAGTGCTGTTATATCTGGAGGATCATTCTTCCACTTTGCACATCACTCTTTGTCAATGTGCTGTATCAGGTAACCTGGGTTTGCTGTGATGCTGAACCTTGTGCCATGGGGCTATCAAATAGCATAATGGTTTCTCAATGTAAACAGTGTTTGATGGAGCTCTCAGTTGTAAAACAGGTTTAGAAGCAGGAGTGGCATCCACGTCCTAAACTACATGCCTCTGGAAACTCTATGAACTTGGAGAAACAACGATAGCTTTGGAAAGGCATTAGATCTTTTGTTCATGAGTTGACCTCGACTCGATGGCAATCAACAACAAGAAGTCACAAGCAACTTGATGTACATAACAACAACAAACTTATATTGATGCATGATAATAATTTGGTTGAGAGACATAAACTTCCCAGCTCACAGCTCAAGAATTATGTCATGTGACGTTCACTCTCTCACGAGCTATGTAACACCTACATGAGCTATGTTCAGCCACTGACACCATCACATGGTCTATGCTTCAAGCTCTGTTAGTCCAAGGAAAGAAGAATTATACCACTTCTTGGCTCATAACAACTCAGTAATTTTGGCATCTGTCTATTTTCTCTATTTACAGGATTTTGATATAAGGATTGAATGAGATAGTGGATTTGGCAGTGTTTCAACAAGTTTGTGACTGAAAACATGATTGTAATTTCTTTGGTTCTCTGCCTTAAACTAGGAAGCCATAGAAACAGAGGGTGGGTCTCTTCTAAATTTCCCCTGAGTGTCCTGCATAAGACTTTGTGGACAAGGGGACCTAAAGGCTCAGTTTTAAATTGGGAAAGCAAGAACAATCACACACAGTTCTCCAGACAGGCCTGCTTGCCAAATTTCCCTGGATATTCAAATTGCTTTTTTTTCCCCAGGGAAACTCAGAATCTACAATGACCTACAACAAAGTTCTGGGTCCCAAATGAAGAACTCTGACCACCTCATTCTGCTGTTTCCTCCCTCTCTTACTCAAAGGAAGCCTCTGTCAGATTGTGGATTTTTCAGGTTAATTCTAACTCCAGGTGAGAATAATTTGTGTGTCTTAATTTCACTCAGCCTGGAGCTCCAAAGGCGAAGCAGGGCACTGAGAGAGCCAGGTTATTCCTGTTAGGGATGAGGCTGTATCTGAGGACTCACCGGAGGTGACTTCTGTGGAGGGCTTGGAGGTCGAGGAGGTACCTCTTCCATGGAGACAGGTGAGAAAAGAGTTTCCTTGGAATTTTTTTTCTGGAAGGTATTCATAGCTGGCTCCTTACTCTCTCTCTCTCCTTAGGCATTTGGCTTAGGGAGGCAGTTGGGACAGCTGCCAGCCTTTTGTAAGGAGGACTGACAGAAGGAAGGGGAGGTGGCTTCAGCAACTAAGTTTAACCCTGTAAGTATTGGCTTCAGCAGCTGGCCCAGAGCATAGCCAGAAAGTACAGGAAAAAGGAAGAGTTGCACATTTGAGATGAATTCCAAGAAACAATTATGTAAGAGTATGGAGAAGTGAGAATAACACAGTACGAGATGGAAGATGGTGCTAGAAAATTGATAAGGCCCAGAATGTTTAAGAGTGTCATTAAAAGTGAACGCTAGTACTTACTTCAACAGCAGAGATACTAAATAGAGTAATTAACATGGCCATTGCACAAGGATGATACAAAATTTGTGAAGCATTCTGTACTTTTCTGTCTGAAAGGAATATATGGAATAAAAAAGAAAGGAATATATGATTAGGCATTGTATGTATAACAATTAACAATATGAACAAGAGGTGCATTATAAAGTGAACTGAGGGAGGGCAAAGGAGGAGGAAGGAGGAAAATATGCAACCACGAATGAAAGAAAACTCAACCTTTCATAAACTTTCATTAAAATCACAGTAAAGTAAATGTGTGCTAGGTAAGAATACAATCCCTCAAGCATAGATCAATAATTTTATTTTAGGGTGATAGTAGCTATCATTTATTAAACACCTATTATGTGCTATTTTAACATATAGGGAGCTCTTGTGGCCTAGTGGTAAGAAGGCACACTGCAATCCCAAAGACATGTGGTTCAAATCCACCTACTGCTCAGTGGGAGAAAGATGGACAGTCTCCTCCCTTGTGATTAACTGCCTCTGAAAATCTGCTGGAGAGTCAGCTATGGGCTGGTTCTGACTCAATAGCAATAACAACAACACATGTGCACAAAACATATCTTAATATGTATGTATATATTAATATGTATGTGCACATATTGAGATGTTTTATGCATGTGTTGTTATAGAAATGTATCTACATAGTGTATATAAATTACTTATATAGTGTTCATGACATCCATTTTTATATATTTTAAATCTTACTGTTTTAAAACAACCTGCTTGCTGAAACTGAGGAGGACCTCGTGCACTTGCTGCGAAGGGTCAGGGACTACAGCCTTCAGTATGGACTGAGGCTCAATGTCAAGAAGACAAAGATTCTCACCACTGGACCAATTGGCAGCGTCAGGATGGATGGCGAAGAGATTGAGATTGTTCACAGCTTCAGTTTGCTCAGCTCCACAGTCAACACTCTTGGCACCAGCAGTCAGGAAATCAAAAAGCGTATCGCGATGCGATGGGAAAGTCTGCCGTTAGGGACCTCTCAAACGTACTCAGGAGCAACAGTGTCTCTCTGGAGACTAAGGTGCGCCTGATACAGGCCATGGTCTTTGCAATCGCTTGTTATGCATCAGAGAGTTGGACAATGACTAGGGAGGACAGAAGAAGAATGGATGCTTTTGAGCTGTGGTGCTGGAGAAGAGTACTGAATGTACCATGGACTGCCAGGAAAACAAACAGATTCATCTTGGAGAGGATTAAACCAAGCTACTCCTCGGAGGCAAGGATTCTGGGGCTTCGTCTGACATACTTTGGACATGTTGCCAGAAGGGATGGGTCCTTGGAGAGGACATCATGCTTGGGAGGGTGGAGGGACAGCGCAGGAGGGGAAGACCCTCTATGAGATGGATTGATTCGGTGACTGGGGTAATCGGGATGGGTGTGTCAGAGGCAGTGCGGTTGGCGCAGGACAGAGCAGGGTTTAGGTCTGTTGTGCTTAGGGTCGCTATGAGTCGCAAATGACTCAACGGCACATAACAACAACAACAACAACAACAGTCATTTCTGATTCATAGAAACCTAACGTATATTGAAATGCAAAACCCAGAGAGTTTCAATGGCTACCTTCTCATAAATAGCTACAGGTCTTGCTTTCCAGGATCATCTGCAGGAGTTCAGCATTCAACCTTTCGGTTGGTTGTTGAGTGCCTTAATCTTTTATTCCACCTAAGAACTTACCTGCTTTAAGGTCATTACTGTTTGACAAAAACTAGAACGGTGTGGGTTTTGGGGTTGGCTTTTTTTTATATTACTCTAACTTATTTACAGTTTGAATACATTGTTTTTCACAAAAGATCCTCCCTGTTTCCTTCATCCCACCCCCCCCCCATCAAATTATGCAACCCTATGATTAAGACCCTACCCTCCTCCATCCTCACCTCTCTATTTCCACCCTCCCCCAGACACCTTGGATCCTCATACTCATTCTACAATAATGGTGAAAGTCAACATAGCTAACAAGCCACAGATCTGGAATTTCCACTTTTGACTTAGCAGATTCAAAAGTAAAGATTGGGATCTGTAACACCTGTGGCTGTAACTCAGGTCTACAGGCAGGAGGACCCACATTACTGTCTAGACTACGTAATGGAAATACAAGAATGTAGATACACTGAGATGCATTGAACTTAGAGATAAAGGGAACACTAACATTTCAGCATCTAGCATATTTTCACGAAGAATGCATGTGTTCTACATTTATTTGCCGATTCTGTTGTCCCCACCTGAAGCATTTTCTTAAGTGTGAGCAGCACAGCTCAGTTTCTGAGGTATTTACCAAAATACCTCGTGAGGAACAGTGTGGTTGGCAAACAACTTCTATGTTATTTTTATAAGACAGAGTAATAAAGTTCAGCTAGAAATGTCCTATATGCAATTTAAAGAATGAAGGCTAAAGAAAATGAGAGAAATCAGTTAGTTATATGTGCGTCAGGGTAATTGCTCTTTGCTAAATCTATTCCCTGCATTTTCATTCTCACTTCAAGATGAATCCGTTCTTTAACTAAAAAAAAAAAAAAAAAGACTAAATACTGTGAATGAAGTACATAAGTATTGTTGCAAACATTCTTCACCTTAATTTTCAGGAGATGAATTCCCTAATGATACCAGACTATAACACTCAGTCTTCATCAGGGGAGAACAAGAATCAGCATGATGCATTATAATGTATTCTTCTTGTTAAGAGGCAAAAAACAAAAGATTGTGGTGCACTTCAAGTTATTAATCATCAGAGATAGAAAAGGAATAGTCAAAGGACTACAAGAGAAATGTTGTTGTTACTGTTATATGCTGTGGAGTCCCCTGTGACTTATAGCGATCCTGTGTACAACAGTCCTAAACTCTGCTTTATCCTGTGCCAATCTCACTGTCTCCGACACACCCACCCCCATTATCCCAGCCACTGAGTCAATCCATCTCATCTCTCATCGAGGGTCTTCCTCTCCTGTGCTGTCCCTCCACTCTCCCAAGCATGGCATCCCTCTCCAAGGACTGATTGCAACATGTCCAAAGTATGTGAGACGAAGCTTCAGAATCCTTGCTTTCAAGGAGCAGCCTAGTTACACCCTCTCCAGGAAGAATCTGTTGTTCTCTTAGCAGTCCATGGTACATTCAATACTCTTCACCAGCACCACAGCTTAGGGGCATCAATTCTCCTTCTATCATCCCTAGTCATTGTCCAGCTCTCTGATACATAGCAAGTGACTGCAAAGACCATGGCCTATATCGGGTGCACCCTAGTCTCCAGACAAACATAATTGTTTTTCAGTACTCTGGAGAGGTCTCTGAGAGGTCTCTAACTTTCCCAATGCAATATGTCTTTTCATTTCCTGGCTGCTGGTGCCAAGAGTGTTGATTGTGGAGCCAAGTAAACGACCGCTGTTTAGAATCTCAGACTCTTCACCATCTATCATGATGCTGCCAACTGGCCCAGTGGTGAGAAAACTTGTTTTCTTGATATTGAGAAATAAGCAGAGAAAAATGAGTCAAACAATAGAGTCAGACAACATCAGAAAATATTAGTTAGAGAATACAAGTGAGAAAGGGAGAACCTATGGCTTTATCCTATTGCAAAATTCTCATATTACCTATTTGAGTAACTCATTGGCATAAAGCCACGATAAACTACCCTTTTCTCCCTAAACTACGTCAGACTTTGACCATGTCTTCTCAGTTCGATTACAGTCCTCATTTCCACTCTTCTCCCACCAACCTTTACCCCAAACAAACTAGTTTATTTCTGACTGTGGCATTAATGATTAAACTGCAGCTTAATTAATTGTCTCAGGAAATGTTGCTCTTTCTGATGGAATTTGGTTACCGATTCTGAGAGCAAAACAAAAACAGAAAAAACACAGAAGGTACTAGTCAAGTTAATTATTTTAATGGTCAAAAGACATCATTAAGAGGTAAAAGACAATTCACAAGCAGGAGAAATCATTCATAGTATGCATGTTTGGTAAAAGATGTGTGTCTAGACTGTATGAATAACTACAAAAAGTCATAAAAAAAGGATACATAATAAAATTTTAAAATGAGCACAAGTTCGATATGATAAAAGTTTAAAATGAGCACAGGTTGGGTATTTCACAAAAGAATATATCAAATTGACCAATGAACTTCCTTAGTCATTCTATTATACTAATCAATGCTTTGAAATCAGAACTGAATCACTTGGGAGGAGATTGCCCTTTCTTCTATCATGAAGCCACTGTCCATTCAAATTGCCAGATAAATGTGACCTTCAGAATAGCAGTGTAGCTCTCAAGGATAATGTCATCGGAGCTCCCTCATTTATCATTGCTATTGTTGTTGTTGTTAAGTGCCGTGGAATCAAGTACACCTCACAGCAACCTTATGAACAACAGATCTAAACTTTCACTTTTTCTGTGCCGTCTCAACATCTCTAACACGCTTGAGCCCATTGCTGCAGTTACTGTGTGATTCCATCTGGTTGAGGGTCTTCCTCTCTTTTACTGGCCCTCCACCTCTCCATGCCTGGTGTCCTTCTCTAGGGAATAGCTTCTCCTTGCAACATGCCCAAAGTATGTGATATGAAGTTTTGTTATCTTTGCCTGAAAGGGACACTCTGGCTACAACTTCTCAAGACATATTCTTTTGTCAGTTCATGGCATATTTTGTACTCTTCTCATAGGTAT